CTCCTTCCATTCAGCCCTCCATCTGAGCACTGACACAATGCAGCCATTTCACAGAATGACAGACAGCTCCAGGATTTGCAACCTGCTCACCAGGTGAGCTTGCTTAATACACTTTATCCATTCTACCCATCTGTGCAGTAAAGCCACAGAATAACATGTCAATAATTCACAGAAATTGCTTCTATATGGGTTAAAGGGCTTGAACCAGTTTTGGTGTGCAGTCTCCTTTAAATAGGTTGGTTGGGTTGCAGACTCCCAAGTTCAGTCCTTGCATGAATGAGTTAGTGTTCAGTAATGAATGTGGCATGCCATGAATGACAGACTCAGAGTCCTGGCTATTCAGAGAGAAGCAGCTTTGTACTGCTGGAGCAAGCATACGCACACACACATACACTCACACACTCTCACACATACACACGCACATACACTCACACACAAACACACACACCTACACTCTCACACTCTCACATTCACACACACACAAACACACACACATACACTCACACACTCTCACACATACACACACACTCACACACGCACATACACTCACACACAAACACACACACTTACACTCTCACACTCTCACATACACACACACACATACACACATACACTCTCTCACACACACACACACTCACACACTCACACACTCTGATTTTTTCTTCTTCTTTTATAAAACAACCTGATTACTAATAACGCAGACAAGGAACAAGCTATTGTATAGGAGGCTCATCCTGGCAAAGGGAATGAGTTGAAACAGCTGAATGAACATGCAACAGCTTAGGAATTCAACATAAAACTAACAATGCAAAGGACTCCCAAAGTCTGTGAAGTAATTTACAAAGTGTCAGACAAACCCAATGAAGAAAAGCAAATGGTTGCACTCTCAGCTACTGTGTTATGCCTCTTCTGTGCGATTCTTAACACTATATTGTTGAGTTTATGATGCTTCTAATTCAATAATTACCTAACTCTTCGATCTTTTTTGTTCAGACTCATTTCTTCACCAGTACGTTTTTATTAGCTCTGTTTCCAGGTCTCCCCATCTCTCCCTCAACATTACACATCATTCCCCATCCAAAAAGAGCAGCCAAGTGTCCTGTTCCCAGGCTTTTACCCATGCCGCAGTTCCACTGATTGCCAGGAGGCAAATAAAACTTAACCTCCTCAGCTGACTCACTCAAAACATTTTCTCTCATTTTCTGTGGAGAAGCACCTTGAAATTCCAAGTTAAATAAGCTAAGATTGAGATGGCTGTTATTTCAGGAAACGGAACTCACAAAATCCAGCACTATGTATTTTTAAAGCTCTGACAATATATTATTTATCTTCCTCTTTTGCCCTCTCTGGTATACCAGAATCATGTTCAATGCCATACTGAGAGGATCCATAGTTTTGTACAAGGATTTTTCCTGCAATGCAGTATGTGCTGGACTTCACTGGCTGTAAAGTGTATTGGGATATTCTGAGGCAGTGAAAAGCAGGATATTAAAATGCCAGTTCTTGCTTTCTTGCTCACTCCACATTCTGTCTCTCTTCCAAAGTTATATTCTCTTCCTCCTCAGACAACAAGGTGCAGGGCTGGATGAACACAACAGGCCAAGCAGCATCATAGGAGCACCTCTCTAGCTGGGTCCTCTACCACCCCTTTGCTTCTCCTTCAAAGCCTTTGTCTCCTCTCGTTGCCAACTATTTCTAACTTTCAGTCACATGCTGTGCAATGAAGTGTGCAAGAGCTAGTACCTGGCTACCTCATCTTTCCTTCTTTCTTTGGCAGCCTGGCCTGAGAAAAGCAGTTTCCAAATCATCTCAGCAGGGAGTATACCACGCCTGTCTGTTCCTTGTGTGCTTTTTGCACTTTCTTTGTTTCTATCACTAGGGGTGGAGTAAGCACAAGTCTGGAGGTGGGTTAGCGTGAACACTCACATGGCTGACCAGCATGCTGGTTTCCCAGTACCAGCCTTGGTTTAAGCGCTAAGTGCACTGTTGGCTGCAGAGATGGGGTGCAGGAGAGAATTGTGCCTGCCAACTGCTAAGTAACTCGTGGTGGGGAGCAGAGGTGAGTGCTCAGGTGGATTGGTTAGAAAGTCTTCCTCAGTTTTCTGAGACTTTATCTAGAAATGGCTAAACCCTCTACCCCTCACCCTTCACACACTTTCACTCCCTCACCAGCTCTCCATGACACTGTTATGCCTGCATGCCCCCACGCCACCTCTAAGCTCACTCACTCAGTAGTCACTATGTAAAAATCCAATGAGTCAGATAATAACAAGGGCATGTCTTGAAACATTAAGGAAGATAAAACACCATTCAGAAATCTGATGAATAGTCACTGGACTCAAAATGTTAATTCTGCTTTCTTCCTACAGATTTTGCCAGACCTGCTGAGTTTCTCCAGCAATTTCTGCTTTTGTTTCAGATATCTGCTTCTATGGACCAGGATGATTGTAACATCAGTTGCAGAAACTTTACCCAATTAACACCTCCGAAACTTGTGAGAATTAACTCAGAGACATTGATACAAGAAATTGCAGAAGGAACAATTTATTATAATCTCATTAACATATCAGTCAAGTAAGGTAGGTACTCACTTCTCCTTGTGCAACCAGACCCTTACTGAGCTAATACATTTGTGAGTTCTAGAAACTCAGCCAAGCATTCATGATGAATCAGATTGTCATATTTCTGGTTCACTATCTGTTTTTGCTGGCACAGTTCCCAGAAGGATTCATTATGAATGCTAGGCTGAGAGCCTGGACCTTTGTAAAAGGATTGTGTGAATGACTTTATTTACACAAGTATAAAGGTTAGTTGACTTTGGTTGTTTGACCTCTCTATGATATTAAGATAAATGATTTTTTTGTCATCTCTTTTACCAAAGTCTTGATGATTATTTGTGAAAGGGTAAGATGCATTAAAATGCTTAAAATTTCTGCTGTTGATACATCAATGGCCTGTTGGATTGACACTGTTATTGGGTTCTGGAAACAGATTTTTTTTCAAAATTATGAATGCGTGTTCTTTTTTCTAAGCAGTTTTAAACATTGTTAATAGAGTGTTCATTGATTCTGTGTCCAATGTCTATAGGGTGAATGGGTATGGAAGAGCCATGTTTTGGGAGGGTCTGAGGAGTCATTGGTCATGGATGAGGTGTGGGAAGGCCTTTTGAGATTACCTTTTTAGAGGTTAAGGCTAGGTGGGTTAGCCATGGTAAATGTGGGGTTAAAGGGATAGAGTTGGGAGTTTGAGTCTGGGTGGGATGCTCTTTGGAGGATCAATGCAGACTCAATGAACTGAATGGCCTCTTTCTGCACTGTAAGGATTCCATGATCTATGACTTCCCAGTGTCTGACCAGCTCTTGTAGTCATAATATTTGTGTGGTTGGCCCCCTTCAATTTCTGTTCAGTGGTAACCATCAGGATTTAGAGATCATAATGCCATTGAATGTCCGGGGTGATGGCTAGATTCTCTCTTGTTTGACTTGAGTGACACAAATGCCCATGCCACTTCTTATTCAAAGCTTGGACGTTGTCCAGGTCTTGTTTTATTTGAACTTGGACTGCTTAATATCTGAGGACTTGTGAATGGTGTGAAACACTGTGCAATCATCAGCAAACATCCCCACTTCCAACCTTATGATGGACGGAAGTTCATTGATGAAGCAACTGAAGGTGATTGGGCCTAAGACATGCCCAGGATTGAGGTGATCGAATAAAATGGACAATATCAGTATTTAATGAGCTGAGTGACAGGAGAGATGTGGTGAATGGTTGTTTTTCAGAGTAGGTGAAAGTTTATCGTGGGATTCCAGGGATTCAGTGTTGGGATATCCACTGCTCCCTCAGTGGTGTGACCCTTTGATCTTTTACACATAAATTCTGTGTCTGATTCCACCTCTGTCACTAACACCAGAAGAAGGAGCAAGGCTACGAAAGATTGTGTTTTTAAACTAACCTGTTGGACTATAACCTGGTGCTGTGTGATTTCTGACCTTGTCCACCCCAGTCCAACACCAGCACCTCCACAACATGTCTTGAAGTATATTAATAATCCAGGCTTGGGTGGACAGGGCCTAAGTTAAAAACTTTGAGATGAGAAGACATTAGAGATACAACAGAGAAAGCTCACAAAAATTGTTGCAGGGATGAGAAACTTCAGATACGTGGATACCTTGGAGAAGCTGGGCATGTTCTCCTTGGAAGTGAAAAGAGTAGGGGAGAAGTTTTGATAGAGAGATGCTCAAAGTCTGAGGGAGGTCTGGATTGAGGAGATAGGGAGGAGCTGTTCCCTTTGACAGAACAGTCAGCAACCAGAGAGGTCTGGTTCAACACACATAGCAAACCCAGAACTGGCAAGAAGTGTATAGTGAGTGGTTATGGTCTGCAAAATTCTGACTGAGACTGTGCTGGAGGCAGATTCAATGGAGGCCTTCAGAAGAGGATTGGGTAAATATCAGAAGAATAATGAGTTGCAGGGCTGTGAGAACTGGCACCAATAGGACAGGTCAAACGGTTCCTGCTGTGCTGTAACATAAACTCAGACCTGTATTTATAGCATGACTGACTGCACAATTGCAATAGTATATATAACAAGACAGACTGTACTTCCATGGACTATCAATAACAGGACTGATTATACCACTCCTGACCCTGTCCATATCAACACTACCATAAACTGATTGTGTAATCCATTGTCCCAGTACTGATTGTCTCTGAAGCAGAATTGACTGCCTGTCTGTCACAGGATGAATTGAATCTTTGCTGACCAAAGTGCCGATAGCATTTTATTTAGCATCTGGTATCTGGTGGAAGTTTCACAACAGTGGTGATTGCGGCGTATTTGAATAAAATCAGTGAGTAAGAAGTGGGCTATAGCAGTTGATCGTTGCCCTTTTAAGTCTCAGGAGTGGGTGTTGCGAGAATGATGTCATCTGTTGGGCAGGTCTTACTCTTTAAGAAGCTGTCCGTCTGTGTATTTGTGATACGCAGTGCATGTGATCTCACAGCGCGCTGCTTACAATGTGAAAGAGATTCATTTAAGTGCATGTGAACTGGGAGCGAGAGTCTGAACACAGCGGGCTGCTCATAGCCGCACAAGGAAGCTTTCTTCTCTCTCTCTCACTCACTCACACACACACACACACACAGTACCGAACCGACCAACTGAGAGGGCGAGAAAAACTAATAATCAAACTTCATGCTGTGCAGCAAGGTCCTGGTGCAGCGCAGAAAGTCCTTGGAATTAAATTTTGCTGGTGTATCAAGCCCAGAATTCTGAGCTCTAGAGTGGATTAAGGTCTGATCAGCTCTGGGACTCCTGTTACTACCGTGTGAAGCACAAGCAGAAAGTCTGAGGCTTTTAAAAGATAAATTGAAGAGAAACTTTTCAAGGTAAGTAGACAAATGGATCACTGTTCGTTTATCAAGGAGTGATAGGAATTTTATACATTTTTTTAAAAAGCGAAATCTTTATTTCTACCCTGCTGCTTTCTGGAAAGGAATAGCAGCTTGTTGCTTTCCTGAATACTTTAAAGAGAGAGGGAGGGGGGAAAGTTGAGTTCTTTTGTTCGGGCTTTATTTGAGGTGAATGGATAGTAGCAGCGAGGGGGAGGAGGGAGATGGATGGGACAGTCAGTGCTTGAGGGGGGTTGGGGAGACCATTCACTGTCGACACTTAGCGGCAGCTGTTCTTTTCGCGAGGCTTCTCCTCTGGGTCACTGGAGCGCTCACATATTGAAAGGGGGCAACTTTTTTTTAAAAGGTAAGGGCTGGGGGTGAGGGCGGGGGGGGGGTGGAGTATGTGGGGGAACGGATTGAACGCGAAATGCCGGGAGACGGAGCCTGAAGTCTATTGGTTAGAAAACTGTTAGCTCTGTACTGTACGTTGTAAGGGACAACAAGATGTGAAGTCTTTCTCCCCCACCCAAGAAAAGTTTTTTTGGTTTGTGTTTTTAAGGAAAAAAAAATTAAAAGTAGGACTTTCTCCCAAGAAAAGTTGATGTGCCTGCGTTTCTGAACTCTGTCATAACGGTGCACTGTCAAGAATTAAGGCTGATTGATAAGACTGTAGCTAGTGTTTTTTTTAAACGGTTTCTGACAGCTGTAACACACCTGCAGCTACGCGTGAAACTGATCGTTTAAAAGTTCACTTGTCTTTATTGCGGCGCTGTTCTGAGGGATGGGAAGATATGATTTCCCTGACGCCCCAGTCTTTCTATTCCCGTGGTGCTGCTATTTCAGGGCTTTTGGAGCATTGCTTTGCGTTTATTGTAAACGACATGGAACCACATTGTTTTCCTAACAACAGATTGGGCATGTTGGAGAGGCTAGTTAGTCCATCTGTACCCTGTTCTGCTACACTTTCGTGTAGCCTCGATTGTTTTCACTGCCAAATATCTATCTTTTGAATTTGCCAACATTATTCTCCTGCAATGACTCCTGAACATCTGTTCCACTTGTTCACCACCCTCTGTGTGAAGCTACCTCAGCCAGCTGCGTGATTTTTCCTTTTCAAATTTCTGTTTTTTTTTTAAAAAGTTGTGTGGATGTAAACTTTGCAATTGTTTATTGCTGATGTTTTGCTGTAGAGGATACACTGTTATGTTCACGAATGACTGACTGACTTATTTTCCCTCCTCTCTCAGCTCTTTTCTTAACACTGCACCCCCCAAACTCCTCCTGAGCATTCGATTAGACTTCCTGTTAACGATGCCACACCTGAAATTTCCTGCCTGCTCACTCCACTCTCCTTTCATCCAATTGGGTCATTCTTTCATTACTCCCTCCCCTTTTTCTTAACTCACAGGCAGTGCATCTGAGATTGGAAAGTCAGTAATTTGGAAGATCTACCTGAGAATTGCACCCATTTCTGTTCGCTTTATACCGTTTCTAAAACACCCACTGTAGTTGTAAACTGACTGGAAAATGGGGAGAAGGGAAGGTGAGGTTGAATCCATATCAGATATGTTTTTCCATCCAATTTTCTTCCCTCTGCCTCATCACATGATGGCATAATTTGTCTTACTGAAGTACTGTTCTCAGAAAACAGTACGAAATACTAGGAATGACTGTTATGGCTATGTTGACCTCTCAGAATCCCTACAGTGTGGAAACAGGCCCTTTGGCCCAACAAGTCCACACCGAACCCCAGAGCATCCCACCCAGACCCAGACCCAAACCCACCTAATCTACATCTCCCTGAACACTATGGGCAATTTAGCACGGCCAATCCACCTAACCTGCACCTAATCTTTGGATTGTGAAAGGAAACCCACACAGACATGGGGAGAATGTGCAAACTCCTCACAAACAGTCGCCCGAGGCTGGAATTGAACCTGGGTCCCTGGCGCTGTGAGGCAGCAGTGCTAACCACTGTTGCCGCCCCTGTAGATAATGGCAAGCTGTCTGCATAAATAGAGGACAATGCAGCCAAGCTAACCCCTGATCTCTCAATGTCCGAAAGCCTGACTGTATGGTGGTTGGGGACGGCTGCTGTATAACCAGCAGTAGGAACTCCAGCACAGGCTCCCTCAACGTCTTGACAAACAGTACAACTTGTCCCACCGTCCCAGCTGCGATCAGCTAACAGGCCAGGACTTGAGCCTGACCAATTTTCCCATGAGTTATTTCGGGGACCCCATCTCCATCTGCTGTCAAATATCTGTCCTTGACGTGGGGCCAGAAAAGAATGTACCATGTCCAGAGTTTGCATGTGTCCCCAATGATCAGGGATTGAGGAATTTATGGCATGGATTTCCCTCAAATTGATGGCATTCCTAGAATAATTGTTTGCATTTTGACTCTGTCATTAAATCTCTCTTTTGATTCGTTTACCAGAGTGTTGTATGTTGGTCATGCACACATGTAGGCTTCATGGTGGCTGGAGGTATAACTTGGCTATCTTTTTAAAACAAAAGTGAGACTGGATCACAGCTATGTCTACTGTGTGGGGTGTTCCACTTTACAATGGGAAGATGCAGAAGGATTCACAGGGCCTGTTGAACAGGCTCGTACACCAGTGTGATGCCTTCCCAGAGATTGAGAAACAGTCAAACTTAACAAGTTAAGGCTGCTGAGCTAAGGGGGATGACGAATGTGTGGGACTGTACCCTAATGGGAGCGGCTGTGCCTGAAGGAGAAGATGATGGGAGAAAACCAGGGAATTAACAAAGTTGAATCAGAGATAGTAGGAACTGCAGATGCTGTAGAATCCGAGACAACAAGGTGCAGAGCTGGATGAACACAGCAGGCCAAGCAGCATCATAGGAGCAGAAAGG